ATTTTCTATGAAAAATATTGAAATCCATGTCCATGATATATTTACCAGTACTGAATTCCCAATGGGTATTATGCATGAGTCAGTGTATGCTGTCTGGAACACTTAATACTACTTGTTTTATTTACAATGTTCATGTAGGTAATAATGTATGTAGTTTTATCGTTGTAATTCAGATAGAAAAATGTTCTAATTTCTTAACTCAGACATTAAAGGAGCTAAATCGCTAACATTTGGGCCCTAGAAATTCACAAAAGTGGGTCGCAACACATATAATACTGTAATATGAATGTATATAAACTGATATACATTTAATGGTTTCCGTTTTTACTCCAATTTCAAATCAGTTATGTTCGGCGAAATAAGTCAGCAATCTCAATCGAGTGCAAATTTCTAGCGTCTAGTTATTCTAGTCTACATAACTCCATTTGATTTGGTGCAATGTGTCTAGCCTCGTCCTTCGAGTCTCTCAATACAACTGGGGCTGAAGCGCATTATGGTACACGATTCGTGTACCAATGTTAAAAAAATTATTTTATCTTAAATATCGGATATCAGAGGCTCATCTTTTCCCGGGAAGTTTACATCATCAATGTTGATTTAAATTGACCAGTAATTCGTGTTTTCGATGTCGAAGATTTTGGAGGATTTTGAGTTACGGACTTAGGTCCTTTAAGTATTGATCTGCAGATAAAACTTTTACAGACTCTAATTTGTAATTCAGAGGGGAGGGGCCGCTGTTGCTCAATTCCAGTCTTGGCCAAGAAAGTTCTTTTGGATTTCACTATCAGTCTGGTTTTTCTCTGTTAGTGGTGTAGGGTTAAGGATCTTACAAGGAAAAGGGTCTTGTCGTTTAGATGGAACTAAACAACAAGGTCTCATGTATACCTTAGGCATCTGGAACATTGGAAATCGAAATAAAAGTAGGTCATAGCACCACTCCCTGGGCAAAATTTCACTCAGGGTGTATGCCCTACTTCATTTGTCTGATTGCTGCATTTCGTCTCAGTAAATAGAAATATGACAACATGAAATGGCCTTTGCCTTTTATTATTAGTATAGTTTCACAAATTGCTTGTATTGTTCGCATTATCTATGTGTGTCTAAAAGTAAAACAATAAAAAAAACAAAAAACAGTAAAATGAAATAAAATGGGGTTTGACGTCCTACTCTTCTTAAAAAAAAACAACAGAAAACACTATTCCTCATATGGATTGGCGACATATCACCATGTTTTATTTCTAGGTTTTTCTTGCTAGTTTTTACCAATACAGAAAAAAAAACAGTGATGACAGGATCGCTAAAAATATTCGAAGAGATCTTGTCACAAGCGTCTGGTAAGAAATAAAATCATTGAAACGATAGATAATCTTAACATGATATATGACCTTCAAATAGCTGTCACAAATTATAACATTGTTTTGAAAAAACAAAGAAAAATAAAATGTGGTTGTTTTTTCTTCTTTTTCATTAGATTTTTCTATGAATGTCTAGAACAATAAAAATAGTATAGATATATATAGAGATTATTATTTCCAAGTAAACTGAAGGCCGTGACATAATAGATATTTGAGAATTTATAACAACTTCTGGCCAACCCCTGCGATCATTATTTGATTGTCTTATGGCTTATAATATCATGTTGTCTTGTTTTTTTCCCTTTTATTTGTTTCTATTTACAATAGTGATTGTGGCTAAAATGAGACATTTGTTTGTACTTGATGCGTTTTTAGACCAGTTATATTTTTAAATGAAGTGTTGGTGGAATGAGTAGTGGTTATAGAAACATAAGGTTGTCTGCAAAGTTTCTATTTTTGAATGCTATGAGTGATTTCCATTGTAGATTAGTTATCTGACGTTAGCTAGACCATTTTGATTTAGTTTTTCAGCTTCTTTATGCCATAAATAAATAGTAATTAGAGTGTCGGGAACAATGTTTTTGTTTATAACTTCAAAGCTTAAAAATCTCAACTAAAAGTTTTTGAGAAGATGAAACAAGTATTTTTGTTTTTAAATTCCACTTCCCCAAAAAGAAATATGAAGTCATTTTGGGATTAACATTTCTATTTTATTTCAATAATTTGCTTGCATGGGAGGAAACCAGAGGACCTGGAGAAAGACCCCCAAGGTTGGACAGGCAACCATACTCCTTGTCATGTACAGACGGGGAATCGAAATCCACACCATTTAACTCAATGACAGACATTGTGATGTAACGTGCATGCGTTGACCATTCGGCTGTCACTCCCCCCCACCCCCCACCATGTTCCTAAAGAACAAAAATTAAAATAAGTGTGGCCTTACCAATTTTTCAACAAGGTTATGTCCAAGATAATTAGATATTGGATAATAATTTTAATTGATTGATAAATGCATTCTTCTGCAATTCTGAGTAAGCAGAGGGCTTTTCTCAGATTTTTTATTTAAGTATAAATGTTTTCAGAAATGATTGACTAGAAATGTCAACTACTTTTATCGATTGGAAAGGTATTTGATCCATCAGAAAAGATACAGCTGAGCAATTCTCATTACACTATAATTTTGATGCCATTGCCTTGAGCTTGTGAAGACGTCTAATGTGATTTTAAGGTGTTGCTTTACAGACTTTTTGAAAATGAAATATGACATGAAATGCAATGTAAATGTCAATTTTCAGTCATTTTACAATGAATACTTTGACAGGGCTTTCATAATTTTTTTCATATCAAGTTATAATGACCATCTATTTTCTAGAAATGATCGGAGAATCAGAAATGAGTAATCCACTTTGTGGCACTGAAAGGTTTATAATCTTATTTATATTAATGGTACAGTCTTGAAACATTTATTCTCATTCTTATTTAGCTTCTAATTGATGATAAATCTAGACTTGCTCACACCTTGACTAGTTTAGCAAAATTGAATTTGAGGGTAAAATCGGATGGTATCTGTACGAAGTCTTATACCTAATTGGAGCCAAATTTTCTTAATCCAGAATTTAGCTGGAAAATTTAGGTTCATTTAAGGAGATAATTTGGGTGGCTGGTTTGTGGTGTAATGTGTGCTCTGTAAATCACAAGGTCTGTCTGTAAGAGACAATTTTTTCTTTTTTTCTCATACATGAAAATACAAAATTGGACCGGTTAATGCTGCTACAAAGAAATGATATTTATGTCTACCCACAAGAGTTTTATAATGCATAGAATTCACATGTATGAAGCATACAGATGATATTTTATACATAAGTGTCACAGTTCCATTGCTCCTAATGATTTTGAATCTGTAAAAAGTTTTGTCAACAGTTCAATGAGATCTACTGGAACAACTAATAAAAATCAAATATGTAATCATAATCTCAAAACCAAATTTTCCATCCACTGAACAAAAAACTATATGTACATCTAATGTAAATTTGGCATCTCACAAGACTGTGCGGAAAAGGAATCAAGAAGACAATATAGATTGGAATTAAATCTGTAATTTCTTATTAAGAAATGCAGCTGTTGTTAATGATTTTAATTATTAATGGTCAAATTTTATGAAAATAACAAATCTTAATGAACTCTCATTATCCAAATTGTGATTATACCATGTCAAATAATGTTTGATTTAAACAGGTCTGATGCTTCTAAAGTCAATTATTAATTAATATTATCTGTATTACCTAAATAGGCTTGTTTATCATAGAAAGTCTAATACTAAATATCTCATGTTTTAGTCTCAATCTCTGTGTGAACTCCCTTAGTTAATTATTGAAATACTAGTTTCCTTGTAATGAATGTGTCTTTGAAAAACTCATATACAGACAGTGTCTAATTAATGCCCCCATCAGCCTGAGGTGGCGTCCTTACTGCGACCAGAAAATGCACAAGGTCGCTGGCAAACATGAACACAACGCGAGAAAATATCCCCAAAAATTACAAACTTGAAAAAAGTGGCGTTCTCACAGCTTTCCAGATCAAATCATATAATCTTGGCGTTTATTTTTAACATGCGCAAAACAAACGCCGTGACTCGGCGATCTTTAACGACCATGGAGACCACAGCACAATATCTGGCGTTTTCACCACGCCTTTATCACGCTTATGGCCATCTTGATGCACTTTGAGATCATTTTCAGTCGCCGTAGCGGAGCAGTAAGGACGCCACCCCGGTCTGATGGGGGTATAAAGAAGTTTATTTGGGGTGTTTAACTTACATTCACTGATACCGATCTTAATCAACACCAATTAGTCGTCAAACTGATTATTTAATATTTAATCAAGAAAACATAATCAAAATGTATGTGTCAACAGTAGGGAATATCCCATTTTGTATTTAAAGGGTGACGCTGGTTTGTTTATGCCATCAACAGAGGTTGCTAAATGTTAGATATTTTCAATTCTTCATATCTTTTTAAATTCCAAACAGAAATTAATTTTTCGACTGGTATTCCTTTTTAACATTATAGTTTGTAAACGATTCAGAATCCCTTAAATGACGATCATTTTATGGTAATTATGGATCTTGTCTTGCATTCTTTGCAGACATAGTTCAAGTTTAAAACAATAAATCAAAAATATTTATAGAAATATAAAAAGTTAACATTTAAAACAATAAATCAAAAATAAAAAGTTAACTTAAAAAAAAAAAAAAAAATTTTTTTTATTCCTATTAAAGGTCTCTGTCTGTCTCTCACTCTATATTCATACACCTGGTCCCGGTTTCACAACGCATTAACTTTCATCTTTCGGTCACAGTTTATGAGAAATATCCTTGATCCAAAAACACAAAATTTTCCACATAGTTTCTTATTGATGTATTTGATTCATAAAAACAACAAAAGTTTTATAAAGGGTTATATATTTTACTTTTAGTTAAAATAATTCGAAAAATTTTGAGTAAATTCTTAACTTAAATCTGAGAATGTTTTGTGAAACCGGGTCCTGGTCTTGAAAAATAACAGACAGAACAAGAAATATTGTAAATGAATAAACTTGTATCAATTTTACTTAAAACTATTAAAGTAAGCATTTATACTGTACCTTAAACGGTCGTCCTGAATAATTGTTAACCTCAAATGATAATAGTTATGATGAAAAATATTTGATGAATAAAATTCTTTGCCAACTTTTAAATAATCAATTTCTGTAATAACCATACAGATGTCATAGAACAAATATCTCTTCACATATGATATGTTTTTGATCAACAATAGATTTTATGATAGAATGTAGCCAATCAAAACGAGGAATAGATACAGGCACTTTGTCTTGTCCTATTTAGCTCTATGCTGCTGCCATCAGCCACTGCTGTCAGTGTGTGGTCTCAGCCTCTTTTACACGACTGTAGTTTGTCCACTGATGTTAGCGTGAGAAATCAATGTGAATAATTAACGATAAAATTCTTACATTTCTACCTAAGATTTCATGTTATTAATTCAACACAAAATGAATTAGCAACCTTAACTCTTTAAATCTTATTTAATTGCTTTTATTACTTTCATTTGCAATAAATCTTCACTTATATTAAATTCCCATGACTAAAATTAAAATGCCAAAAATTTCATTGTACACATCACAATTAGAATCAAATTAGTCTGTCTATCATTAGATATATTAACACACTACAATTAGAATCAAATTACTCTTTTATCATTTAATGTAAAATTGAATCTGACCATATCTCCAGATAGTGCAATGCTTAGTGGTGATCTTTTTGGACTACACTTTGAGCATGGTCATTAATGGATATTGTGTGCAATATAAAATAAACTACTATTATTATTTAAAACAATTCAGAATTTTAATTTGCAGGGTGGTTGGGTGAATGGTCTAACATGTGCACTTTAGATCATAAGGTCTGTCATTGAGTCAAGCGATGTTGTTTTGATATCCAGCTTGTATGTGAAAAGGAGTAGGGTTACCAGTCCAGTTTTCTCCCATTGATAAAGACCACTATGCACAAGCGATATATTGAAATAAAATTGAACCATAAATTAGTCCCAAAAGGACCTAGTTTGTATAGAGTGCCCATTAAACACTCTTGTCAACCTCCAGCAATGAACATAGACACACAGATAAAAAAGTCAGAGACTTTTATGAACGAAATAAGTCATGTACTGCATGTTCTAGATATATTTATTGGAAAATTATATCTTTCGTAATACTAATATCAAGCATATGAATCAGGGAGCCCTGGTCGCTCAGTGTGTGACTGTAAGAAGTTGACTCACTAACCCGGAGGTCTTGGTTTTCGCTCCCAGTGTTGCCTGAGAAAGTTTCTTATTAGGACTTTCCAGCATGGTTTTCCCTTGTCGGTGGTGCAGGATAGAGGTCCTTGCCAGGAACAGTGTCTTAGTCATTCTGTGTACATGTTGGCGTACACATAAAAAAAGCTTGGCAGTTGGTATTTGAAATAAGAGTGAGAGATAGCACCGCTGTCCAGTGCCGCTGCTGGGGTAAAATTTCCCTCGTAGAACACTGCATGGCATATGCCCGTCTTCATCAGCCCAGTCAGTGCTAAACAGTTCAATGGGAAGTTAAACCCCATTTCATTTCATTTCTAATATCAAGCAAACTATCAAATCTAGATGTGAAGGAGCTATGAAAATAAATCGTGTTGTCCATTATCAAAAATAAGCTTTTTTATTGCAAGTGTACCAATCATAACCGGATGGCTGACAGTTTTTATACGCCCACATTGAAATGCGGTCATATATTGCTGTTGCCCCTGTCTGGTGTCCACAATTGCTTGTCAGGCCTTCTTGTGAATAAATTCCGGGAGAGTAAAAAAAAAAAAAGCTCTCCTGAAATTGGAAAAAGGGTAAATCGCTCTCCTGAGAAAGCTCTCCCGAATCTCTTGTGTGAGAGATTTTTTAGCATTTGTAATAAGAACAGGGATTTTAATCCATTTTGAAACCAACTGGTCAGAATTGGGTCAAATGAGGTCCCGGTAGGAAATAGACGCTCCCGTTCACTTTAATATAACCAGACTTCAACAAAAATAATTTTTGGTAATTTGTTATGGAGAATGTTGTATTCTGAATAGGCTATGACTTGGAAGTTCAAGTCAGTAATATTACTGAATAAATTACCGTCTTCGTTTATTCAATGGATAAACAGATATCATCAGTCGTTCGATTTAGGATTTTCCTACTACAGCCAGTTTCAGAAAATGCAGTAGCCAAAATAAGCTGATACGACACCATGGCATTTCTTCATATTTAAAACACAAATTATTGTTTTTGTCTAGCAATCACGTAACTTACAAAGTTTTTATTCACTCGTGGATGATAGACAAGCGGCACAATGATCACTCGACAACCATAATTGAAATTGCTTTAAAAAAAATAAAATTCCATACGATTATGCCATATAATAACAATATTTTTTAAAAATAACTCCATAAAAAAGAAGTTAATTAAAATGCTATTTAAAACTAAATCTAGCAATGCTGGTTTATTGACTTAATTCCAACTGATGCATGTCACTTGTTATCGGGAATCGGAAGCATTGGAGATCCTGACAGATAAATATATCATTAATGTCTGTTTCTCTGGATATCCGGTGTTCTATCAGGGATTATTCAATGACTATTTAAATTTAACAATGGGTCAGTGAAACCATAAAATGTATTATCCAATTATTATTTTAATATCTACCTGGAATTTGTACAGATCGAGCGTCGAAGACGGCACAAATCCTGAGATTCACAATCCATGCCGCGCGAGGTGTCATCAATCACCACATGGCTTATTATTACAAAGGAAACTTACAGGAGCTTCTATGAATAACAACAAGCAAGCTTTTTTTTTTTGCTTTTTTTTACCGAAATATCATAATTACCTTTAAATGTGCTAATTATATGGATTATGAACCAGATGGCCGATTCACACAAAGGTTTAACTGTTATTCAACTTATTGTAACGGACAAGCAATATGATTCTCAATTTTGACAGTAGTTTTCATTTTCATTTCCTGATGATTTTCTTTGAAGGGAGTCAATTTAGACATTGAGGCGAGCTATAAAAGCGCACCTCAACTGACATCCAGGCATGTCCAGGAGAGTGAGAGCGATCGCGCCCCTTTTACGTGAAGGCTAGTTTGATACACAGTGTTTAAGGTCATGAGACAAAGAATCCTATTGATTTTCAATGATTTCCGATAATTACTGCCAATTTATTTTTTTTTCTGACTTCATAATTTTGAAATATCTAGTCCATAACTGTATGTAAAAAAAAAATGTTCTTCCCGTATCATTAATTTATGTGATAACCTTGAGAAATAATAATAACACATCTGTGGTTTATTTGTTCAGATCAGAGAGGTCATAGACTGGCCAAGTCACTGCTCTTGCAAAATAATAGGTGACTAATTTTGCACAGAAGCAGTTCCCAAATGAACCACTCCACACCCTTTAGATGATTTCACACAACAAACTGCAAAGGCAAGAATTGAATGACAGTTTCACTGGATATTTATTTACCAAAATTAAATAAAAACCTGAACCTGTTAATTATCATTGATGAGCAGAATCACCAGCAGGTTGCAGTATTCTGGAGATACGACCTTGTTGATCAGAGTTTACAAGAGAATTCACTCAGGGTATTGATATGAATCTAAGAATTGCTAAAGAAGATAAGATTTTATAGAGAAAAGGTTTCTCATTTGAAATTTAGATTTTTATATGCCCACATTGAGATGTGGTCGTATATTGTCGTCGCCATTGGTCCAGCCGTCGGTCCAGCATCCACAATTGTGTGTGGACGCTCTAGAGGCTAAAGTTAATATCTGATTGACCTTAAATTTATACAGAGTGCTTAAGGTCATTAGACGGAGAAGCCCGTTGATTTGCAGCGATTTCTGATAATTCCTGCCAGAGTTCTGGCCCTTGATCACTTTGAAATATCTTGTGGACACTGTAGAGGGTAATGTTAATATCCGATTGACTTTAAATTTATATGCACCGTTTAAATTAAGGTCATGCGACAAAGAATCCTAATCATTTTCAACAATTTCCGATAATTACTGCCAGAGTTAAGGCCCTTGATCACTTTGAAAAATCTTGTACATGCTCCAGAGGCTAAAGCTAATATAAATTTTTTAGGGTCATGAGCCAGACAATCGAAACAAATTCTAATTACTTCATGGGTTATTACTCGTATTCAGATTTTCATGTGTCGTAAATGTTCTCATTGACAAAAGAAAAAATATGTGACAACACTTGTTGACTGCCTGGACGACTTAGCTGCTGTGAGCGTATGTTTTGTTGCCTGCGAACCTATCTTTAGATTTCATGGTATCAAATGTATGGAAGGATAGTAAATTGTACAAATGGTTGTCGTTTCATTCCTTCCAATATTTTATTGCTGGTAATTTTCTTCCTCGCTTTCAATACCTGCATCTTTGCCAATATACATCCACATCCTACCACCACAATATAGCAAATAACATCATAGGTAAAATGTTGTAGATAAAAGCTCTGTATTTAGAATTTAGAGGATTGTTTTCTTGAAGAACCTGTAATTAATAAACATTTAAACACAAATTAGGTGATTTCAGGACTAACATGGTTCTATTATATTTCAATATTTCACTTGCTGGGAGAGGTCTTTATAGCAGTTTAAGGAATGGACAGTTGACTTAATGGCAGACCCTATAAACTATAAGACGCATTGTGTTAAATCATTCAGCCAGTCACGCCACACTGAAAGGATGCTCAATAAGGCCACACATTTGCTTTTTGTTCCTCTTGTGGCAAAACTAATTTGAAACAAAAATTACTTGGCTGATCTTCTCGAAAGTGTGGGCAGTGTGGGCATATTTTGCATGACAACCGCTTGTTATATTTTATTGATATTTATTTTTAGGTTTTCTTTCTTTTCTTGGCCATATGAATAACAATAAATGTTACTATCTCCCAAAGGATTACAGTCACAGATATTGTCATTACCTTATTGGAGTGGTTTCTACTGCTAATACCATCCTTGAAAGGTGACAGTGGATTTACATTGACAAATATCTATCTCTGAAAATCTGACAGATTGGTGTGAATTTAATTCACTGTATGATGTACAAGAAAAAAAGTCTTTAGATTTCGATTCCCCGGTTGTACATGACAAGGAGCAGGGTCGCCTGTCCCACCTCGTGGGTTTTCTCTGTGTCCTCCGGTTTCCTCCC